GGTGGCGTGGGGTTTCCCTCCGCGCGCCCCCGCCTCCCCCCGCCGGGAGGGAGATGCTGACCGGGAGCCCTCGCGCCCCAACCCGCAGCCCCCTGCCCGTGCTGCCCCCCAGCGCTGCCTGCAGGCATGGGGCCCCGTCAATGCTGCTTCCACGGTGGAGCCAGCCAAAATAGTTTTTAATTAATTTCCAGCTCGCTGGTACCACAAAATACAGCCACAAAATATTCCCACGGCCCGGGAGTCCTCCCGTCTCCTCAGGGTGTACGACACGCTCTTCTGCTCGAACACCGAATTGCTGTAAATCCTTCTGGTCCTCCTCATCACCCCCAATGAGGTAGTGACGAGGAGGGGGTGTGCAGCCCCCCCGTGCTGCCAGTCTGGGGCACAGCCCAGGGACGGTCCCCAACCCCGCGCCACGGACGGGAACAAGGCTGGAGGGGGTGGCACGTGCAGCAGGGCGCGATGGTCCCGGGTCTCCCCCCATCCATCCTCCTCCAGAGCCGCCCCCCCACCCCACCCCAGGTCCCCCAGGAGGGGCAGTAGGTGCAAACAAACCCCCTCTCTACTTTCTGTTACCTGTCTGCGCAGGGGGATGCTCTTGGCCAGCTTGTGCACGGCCAGCTGGCTGTTGAAGTCCGTCTTCTTGGTGGTGCTCTTCATCTTGTAGATGATGACGGTCACCACCATGCAGGAGATGAGGAAGGCCCCGGTGCAGTAAATGATGATCTCCAGGTAGAGGGGGGACGTCATCATGGCCGGGGTGTCTTCAATAGCTGGGTCGGCGCGAACAGGGCGTTAGCACCCGTGAGCCCGCCCGGGGCCGAGGAGCAGAGCGGTGCTGGGGAACCCCCCCGGCTCCTCCCCGTGCTCGGCGGGGACATGCTCTGCATCGCCGGAGGCCTCGGGGCGGCGTATGGCGGGGAGCAGGGGGGCTGCCCACCCACCCCGGTGGGGAAGGCGTGCGGACACCCCTCCTCATCCCTGTGGCTGTTCAACGCCTCCGCGGGCACGTGCCTGGGGTGGGATGGGGCGCTGGGCTGGGAAGGGGCCACCCGAGAAAGGCGTGAAGTGGAGGGGGACGGTGCCCGTGTCCCTCAGCTGGGGCCATGCGGGAGAGCAGTGGGGGTCTCCCGTTGGGGCTGCGCTGGGGATGCTTCTCCTGCATCACCCCGCAGGGACGGGGCATGGCGGGCACCCCCCGGGGCAGAGCTGCTCTGCTCTGCCCACACTCGGAGCCGCGAGTCCCCGGGGGCGCGGGGGTTACCCTGAGCATGGTGGGATGGAGGGGCCGTCCAGCAGTGCCCGGGGCTGCGGGGGTCCGGGCGTTACGGATAAAGACCGGAGAGAGCT